CGCCTCCGGGAGAGGAAAAACGCGTCTTCGAGGAGCCTCGATGAATCTCAAGATCGGCCGGCGACGATAGAGAGCGCATATTATCGTGACGACTGGGATACCGATGAGCCACCCATTTCCCCGCCAAGTAGGGCGCGATATCGCGAAGTTCGCGAACATCCGGCGCCGACGTAAACATCTCGCCCATTATGGACGTCCGCCCGGCGATGTCCGGGGACTCGAATCTCCTCCGCATTCGGCAGACCGGTCTCCTCGCTTCCAGTTCCTCGGTCTCCGCTCGTCTGGCCACGTGGTTGGTGACGGTGCTGGTAACTTGCGGCTCCTTCAACTCGGCGGTTTTGCTGATGACGTCGATGTGCGGCATCGAGAGATTATCGCGGCGCAACGGCATCCGCGGGATCGGCGGCGACTCGCCTCTTCGTCCTCGCGGCCGTCCTCTCCTCGTCGTTTCGAATCTCCTACGCAACCACGCCACATCGACGTCGTGCTCGTACGATTTCCGCGTGGCGTCGCGTGCCGCCTCGCTCGTCCTCTTCAGCAAGCACCGCGCCAGCTCCGGATCGCTGCGGAAGCGCTTCGGCGCGGGTGCGACCTTAACGCGCCGCGATAGATCCTCGGCGCTCTCGAAGCGCGCTCGCAGTCTACGCACCGCGCCGTTTCGCACCAGCTTCAGGTACGCGCGCCAATATCTCTCGGGATCCGGCGACGAACTGCGCAACCAGCCGCTGCCGCTGTCCACGCTGCAGGACGAGTTCGATCGCGTGGTCGCGCGACACGGACTGACGCTGTGCGGTCTCGCGTCGTGTTCACGCTCCCGTGAACAGGAGCGGAACGATTGTCGTTGTTGTCGTCGCATACCCATCGTCATTTCCGACAGCGTCGGGCTATCGTCCGCCTTCCGCCGTTCGCCGATCGTTTTTTCGCACGGCGACGTCGATCGCGATCGACCGATCCTGCCGCCGAGCGGATTGTACTTGGCCGATTCGATCTCGCCGAAGAGCTCCTTCAGGTCGGCGACGCTCTGCGACGACGACAGCTTCTTCTTGTCGCGAAACGTCGTCGTTGTTGCCATCGTTGCTGCCTCTCGCTGCCATTCCCCTCTCCTCTCCACGTTCTCGAAGAACTCGATCTTCCGCGACACATCCTCCGTCTCGATCACGCCGCTCCGCTGGATCACCGTCTTCACCGAAGCCTCCGAGCTCTCCGTCATGCTGTCCACTTCGCTGCTCGAGACCAGTTTGCTCGATTTCGCTTTTTCCGATGGTATTACCATGGCCAACAAGGGCGGTTTCTTCGACCACTCTTCGAGTACGGTTTCCACGCGTTGCTTGTCGGTAGGACTCTCGTTATTGGGCGTCAACACCAGCAGAAAATCGCTCTTGTCTTTAGATTTGGTCGAATCCTCGATGTATGGCGCTTCGAGAGAATAACATGTCCTTGGAGAGGTGCTGGCCACGCTGGGCGTGTCAGACGCGCAAATTGTCCTCGCCGTGCCCTTCGTAAACGATTTTTTTGGCATTTTTTCGATCGCCAAGGCAGCGGCAATACTACCGCGAGTCTCTCGAGGCGCTAGAGGTGCGGATAATCTTCTTCGCGTCATCTTATCCAGTACTTCCTTGCCGAGGGTCAACGATAGCCTCTTCTTCTCTAGCTCCGTCATCGGCGGCGAAATCGATTTTTCGGATTCGGATCTCTCGAGCCCTTTCAAACGACCGATGGAATCGCTCTTCTTCAGGATACCTTCGACTCGAGTCGCGTCGCAACTCTGTTCCTTCAGCAACATTGGCGATTCGTTCGTTGCGATCATCGAGTGGCATCGCACATGAAGACTTTTTGAATCGTCCTGAGGACGATCCTTGGAATCACCTTCAGGCGGCACAATTATTTCGTACCTCGTCAAGGTTTCGCTTTTAGCCGCATCGCGATTTTCGTTAACAGATCGTTGATCCTCGCTGATCTCGTGAGGTCCTTCGACGATTTCGCCGTTCGATCGACATGTAGATTTCTGAAGATTGTCGCTACCGTAGATTTCATTCAGCTGTTTCTTCAGGATGGCCACTTGTTCAATAGAAAGACTGCTCCAAAATTTTTTGCTGCCGCCAAGACTTCTCTGAAGAGATGGATGATAATCGGCGGATCTATCGGTGTCTCGACTGGCGTTGGCCTTCTTCTGCATCGTGGTCGCCACGTTCACGACCGAGCTGCCGCGCCAAAGAGGTTTGTATGTATCCTTCTGCAAGGAGATAGCTGCCAGCCTCGAAGATTCCAGCTCGTTCCCCTCGCTCTGGAGCCTTTTAAAATACTGCAGAATGTCTTCTACGGAGCGTTCTTTACAGCGAAGTCCACAGTCTCCATGCCATCTGAACTTATCAACGTCCTTCGCGCTAAAGAGAAAGTCCTTGTCGCGCTGGACGTTCTTCAGCTTCCCGTAGAGCTCCTTCAGTTCCTGTTCCGCCTTCTCCTTCGATCTAACTCGCTTCCAACGATCGTAGTCGATAATTTCCTCGTTCTTCATCCTCGGTCGTAGATCCCCGGACGAGAATGTGCGCTCCAACTGATCCATTCTGCTGAGGCTCGTGTAAAAGTCACACAAGTCCTTGTATCGCTTCGATTTGCGTCTGTGATGTAATAGCTCGAGTATATATTGCTGATAGTCCTCTCGATCGACCGATGACAAAGAGCCGGTGCTCTTCGTCAATGATAAGCTCGAACCGAGCATCCTCCGCCTCGCGTCCTCCGCCTCGCCGACGCTTCTAGCTCTCGCTTTCTTCGAGGTAATCGTTAACGGAATATTCGAGTCGTCTTGTTTCAAAATGCAAATTCGTCGAGGCGCTTGAGATCTCGCTGGAGACGGCGAAGACGATCGTGGAGAAGATTCTCTGGATTCTGGCAGGGTCTTCAGCGGTGGTTCGCTCAGACTCCGCTCTTTCACATGTTCCCGCGACAATTCCGGGCTCCGATTGCGCAATGTGGTGGACGAGCTGAACTCGTCTAGGCCCAGCAAGCTGTCGAACTTGCTGACCTTCTGTAGAACTGACCGGCCGGGCCAGCAAACTCCGTACGGACTGGAACTCCTGGACGAGACGACGCTC